TAAGGACATCGTTATTTTTCAGAGGCCCACTGTGGCCCTATTTTGGCCTTTGACTGGGCCATATTTGTAAAAATTGGGGTTCTCTTGAATGGCAGCCACAGTCGAGCAATTAACGTGGACCAAGTTGTCTGCTGCATAGCGCTTCACCGCAGTCGCACCTTCTCCAGTTGCTGCGCTTAATTCTTGCGAACATACAAATTTTTTTGATAATTTCGAAAATATTGTTAAAATCAAATGTGTGCGAATTTTGACAAATCAGTTCATTTTTTCGAAGAAACTGCTCATTTTCGCACCGTTTAAAAATTTATTCGAATAATCTGTAAAAGTGCTTAGGCTTGGCGAGTAAAGTTTTTATGAGTAGATTCAGTTGCACTAATGGCTTATCTTTCATGAAAATTAACAGCGTGAGCAGTTCCTTATAGAAAAAAATAGTCACTCAAACACAACAAGTAATTAAACATACAAGTTGTTATCAAAAAGTCTGCTATGCCTTATTAGAAAGGAAAAAAATACCACTTCTTCCTCGATCAAAAGCAACTGTCATGGCCAATTGCATGCAGCCACTTCTCACTATATGAAGAGTAACCGTTATGACCTATTGCATGCAGCCACTACTCACACGATTAGGAGCAACTGTTATAACCTATTGCACGCAGCCAATTTTAACACGATGGACAGTAACTGTTATGACCAATTGCATGCAGCTACTTCTCGCTAGATGAACTGCAACTGTTATAACCTATTGCACGCAGCCACTACTCACACGGTTAAGAGCAACTGTTATAACCTATTGCATGCAGCCACTTCTCACACGATTAGGAGCAACTGTTATAACCTATTGCATGCAGCCAATTTTAACACGATGGACAGCAACTGTTATGACCAATTGCATGCAGCCACTTCTCACTCGATGCAATTGTTATGAGCGATTTGCTCGTCAGATCGATGAGCCGTGAGCAGGAACAGGTGAGCACGACAGAATGACATGCAGTCAATCAGCCATGCTTTATCATTCTTTCCACGGAAAACAATCGAGCATTGAAAACGCTTTTTTTCCGCAGGAAGCATTCGGCGTATTGCATCCGATAGGCGAATTGCTGCGTAGAACAAACACTTGCATCACAGGAATGATGACTGAAAATTCATTCTGTTCATCAAACGCAGCTATTCGATCGCAAACTCTGATTTTTCCAATAATGGTCGATGGAGACAGAAATTAATGACCAATTCAATTGAAGTTTGAGCGGGCAAGAAAAAAATATGTACGAGGATGCAGTGATTTGAAACCTTTAATAAACGTGTTGGATTTGCACTTTTCTCATCACATAAAATGGAAGGACATGTATGACGTACGTGTATGACGCTTGTATAAGAGGCTCGTGAAAGACGCACGTGTATGACGCCCCAATTATGACGCACGTGTAAGACGCACGTGTATGACGCGCATGTATGACGCACGTGTATGACGCACGTGTAAGACGCACGCGTATGACGCATGTGTTTAACGCACGTGAATGACGCACGTGCATGACACACGTGTGAGACGCACGCGTATGACGCATGTGTTTAACGCACGTGTGCGACGAACGTGTTTCGATTACCTGAGCGATAGATTCTTAACTAACCACACAAACATCTTATTTTTTCTGACTTTATCACTCCATATTTGCTAATTATTAACAAACTAAGATGAATTAAAACGATTACTTGATAGTTATTCTCCAGTTGATCTGAATATTCCAGAAAAGCAAAAGCATGGCAAAATAAAATTCATTGATGTCATGGTTTGCAAAGCTACTCGTGATGCACTAGCAAGACAATTACAAGCTTTGTAATTGTCCTGAGATATATGGCTACCAAAATAAATAAATAAATCAAAGACAATGAAGTTAAAAAGTGGAGTAAATGTTAGGCACTAAATACTGCTCAACCCCTTTGGATTTATCTATTGAGAAGATCATTAAAAAACAAAGCTTTAAATGATAATGTCACAGGTGAAATGTTCAAGTAAATGACATTTACATGACATTTAAATTTTTTAATTAAAAAAAGTGAATTAAAGTTCTAGCGAGCATCTCACTCCTGCAGTTACATTGAAGCCCGAATTCATTAAATGACGCGAGGGGGGATCAAAGCTACCAAATTATTGACAACCAAAGATAAAACAAGATAAAGATAGATGAGATAGGAGATAAATGAGGTGATCAGACAAGATCAAACAAAAGATAAATTTATGAATAATGACGATAGTGCAAATACGAACAAAATGCAGAGGAAATGACGAGAAGGCAGGAAAAAGTTCAAAAATATTTGTGAAAGTTAAGCACCATCTGTGAAATTCGAGCAAATGCGTCAATTCAACAAATCTGAGATATGAAGGAGCGAGCGTTAAAACGAGACTGCAATTATAAAATCAATCATAAAATAAAGTAGGTAGTTATATATAAGTATATAGACTGATCAGACATACAATAATGGTACGTACTCAATAATTTTAATTCATCATTAGTATAAATAACTAATGATAATAATATTTTATATAATATTATATCACAATTAATATCATTGTTATTATCATTATTACCGTAACAAGTAATATGTAAGATTTATACTGAGTAAATCGCTAATTGATCAATAGTTAAAATAACTAACTAGTTAAGAAATAGATGGGGTATTGCTAAATTTTAACATTTCTCGTTGCGATGCCAAGTTGTCTGATTTAAAAAGTGGAAATTTTCACAGAAACCCGTTTAAAGATTTATTAGCAATAGCGTGAAATTATTCTTAACTTCTTAACAGGAACTATCTTCAACATTTTAAAGTTTATTTACGATTCGATCTAAATGTTTGACATTTGGTCGCGGTTTTGAAAAAAAATCTTTCGAAACTTCGCAAGAAGACGGCAGTCGTATGGATTCGGTGAACTTGAAAAGCCACAAGTTTTCAAAAGACATTTTAAAACAGCTAATGGAACTACAGCCAAACAAGCTTAGATGAAAGCGATCTTTAATAAATTTTGAGCATCTGTGTTTTCAAACCTCCTCAATAAAGTTCAGCGTTTACTAAATAGTGCACTTGATTTTAAAACAATACGGCATTACAGAGAGGATTTATAAAATATACCAGATTCATTAATAGAGTTAAATAATTTCTTGAACAAATCCCTTTGCCTCAAATTGTAACAGATTGACTGGTTGATTTATAAACCAATCATAGAGTCGATCATACTAGAACTTGTAAAAAAAATTCAGACTTTTCTTAGGAATTTATGATAAGAGTATAGTATTTTAGTCTAATACAGCCACGAATGTTCGCCGTACTCACGCCTGATGAAGTAAGAAGTTCTCCGCCCCAATCACGTACCTGCAGAACAATACAAAGTTGAGCCACTGTCAATGGGGAAAACTTCAACACACAGAAAGTTCGTGATTTTTGTTCCAATAGAACTCACTGCTTGGGAAACATCTCGACGAAAGCTACATCTGAGGCCAAGGCTGAGACAAATCAGAGTCTCGACTGAGCTTCATTTTAGTGAAGATAGATGGACGTTGGACGAGGTTCTGTGTGATTTGGGCGTTTGCATGTAGTTCATTCTTTACCAAATTTATAGGAATAAAATATGAATAGTTCTATCAATTTTTTTTAAATGGAGACCTAATTTTCACATTAAGGTATGTTCATGTCTCCTCAGCTCTAACACCACACAATAACTAATATTTAAGTGGTGTGGACAAAATCAAATGGCAAATATTATTTCTTGTTACAATTTTTCGGCCCCAAAACTCGTACCTCAGCAAAAATCGTATTAAATACAAACACAGTATTAATATTAGCTAATAAATGAAATCAACAAGCTTTTTAGAACATTTCTTCCTCCTCCTCCAAAAAATGCAAGTCAAATCCTGCAGCGAAAATTTTATAGGAGATAATTAAACCAGACGTATTATTCAAATAATTCAGCAAATCTTACAAGATACACGAATTCGTGGCTGTTAAAATAAAAGTTCGATTGTTTGACTTATCGTACTGAATAAGCATTGAGGTATCGCAGTTCTTTGCGATGAATCTGAACCCAAAAACTGACTATCCTCATTACTTTAACCTTCATTTCAATCCAATCCTTCTACTGAATATCCGACACAGCAAATATCACGCGTTAGTTCTCTTAATTACCTGAAGTCAGGAGTCGAGTCGTAAATACTATCGTTTAAGCGCACACGGCTTTCGAGGATTGGATTCCAATTATACTGATGTCTATCAGGCAAAATGAAAATAAAACCTAAATCCAGGAATTGAGTCAAAATCTCCCGTGATCGCAGGAATATTATCGCAAGTGTAGTGGTTCTGATTAAAAAATCAAGTATAAAAAAAATCAAGTGGCAGTATAAATGTCAGTAAACATGCCGGTGTAGTCGAAAATAAATTAAATTTCATTATTCTGAATAAATTGTAATAAAGTGGCTGGTTGATTTATCAACCAATCAACTAGAGTGATGATTTTAATCATATAATGGGATAGAATTGCAACTCTCACTTCAGCCATCAACAGTTTCAGCAGGTGTCAGAATTAACCATATTATGAGTGACAATTTGTTGTACCATAATTTCTTATCCGGCCATAACGTCAGCCACTAATTGGCCTTCCTTGAAACAGGTTGAGAGCTTCTATAGAGTTCCTACCTACTCTAAAATCTGGCCTATACAAGTGATGACATCTGTAAACGTTATTACTGTCATAGTTCATCCAAATCGTGCACACGAGTCAAGTCCGCTTTAAACTAGACTTTTTCATTGACCAGGCACAAAAAATCCAGTGCTAAAACGTGAAAATTTTTCAAAAATGCAACAGCTGCTGAAAGTTGGCAGTATTTAAATGACAAATAGACATGGAATACAAAATGAAATTATCGCATCTACTTGTTCAGCTCACATCTCCGAGAAAGAACTCGGCAACAGAGCCGCTGTCCGCCACCCTCGGCTTCGAGGCAGAACTGGCCAACCGAGCCGCTGTCCGCCACCCTCGGCTTCGAGGCAGAACTGGCCAGCCGAGCCGCTGTCCGCCATCCTTAGCTCCGAGGCAGAACTCACCCGAGTCGCTGTCCGCCACCATCGGCTCAAGTCTTCCTATAGGGTGGCATTATTTTCAACGCATCACCTTTCGGTTCCCAATATCCGATACGCCTTTGTCGGGCGAGGATTCGTAGCAGGGTTTTGAAATGTAAATGGAATGCAGTCGAGGCGGTTCGATTTGAACACAGGAGAAGGTGCCGCCACCTATGACCCAGTACATCAGAAAATCCTGCACATTTGGCACAATCTTTCTCACATAAACTGAGTATCGAATTCCCATCCTTCCTCTGAGACGAAACTTATGCGCCGGCTTAACAAGGAATTGATGCGCGTGAATCAGAGTCTTACTTGCATTGAAGATTTACATATAACTGATGTCTAAGCTTTATTCGCCCATCAGTATAAAGAACACTTCTTATCCTATAGAAGCTAAAAAATTATGCAGCGCAATGAATAAAATTTTTCTCGCCGAATATTATTCGTGTAATAACTACTGGTAATGCACAATCGATGCGGTACTAAACGCCAGGGTCGAAGTTTTCGCATTCAGATGATAACCATCAGCCACGAGTTCGAGCAATCATGAAGCGTCATTTAACTTCAAAACAAACTAACCTGATTTATAGCCCAAATAACTGAAATTATTCAATACACAAATAAATAAATAGTACTATCAGTACTATTTATTATCAGACCATTATCAGTACTATAGTACTTACTACAAATAATAATATCAGACCAGGACGCAAAACCTTGTAAATTACTTGCTTCAGGTTCAAATACTGTTATCCATTCGGTAACCTGAGAAGCATAAACCGAAATCCAGGAAGCAATTGTTGCATTCTTTATTGATCGGTGTGAGCATCAGCTTCGTCTAATTCACAGTTCATGAATCGTATCACTACATTTTCGCAACTGCGTAAATTATACTGGAGATTTTATGTACAAGAACCCGTTAAAAAATAGGAATGCAACAAATAATACATTATGGAATGCATCAAAGGAAGATATTATGTCGTGTGTCTTACTTATAGGGATCCTGTTGCTTATGGCAATTTCCTGGAATCTTTTGAAATTATTTAAACGGTTCACGAATCTTCTGCTCGTCTCAGAGGCACGTTATATAGTTCGCAATGTCTCGCCACTCAGTCTTGAAGGCTAAGAAACAACTTGCCGAAGCAGCGCGCAGCCGCGACGCTATATAGGTAACGAATAAGAGTTTTCCGGACGGTATCAATAATCAGGCCAGGCCTGTAATTTCCCTCGGGATTAAGTCTAGTCTCCCTGCGGACTCAGAAATAATACCATTAAGGAACACCTGAAATACGCGAAAAAAACGAGCGAAAAAGAAAGAGACGAAGTGAGAGGCGTTGGTGTTCAAAAATACCATCTGGACTTCTAGTGAAACACTTTAATATTTAATCTTAGCAATTAGGCTAGAGCCAAATTAGAACACGGCATCCGCTAATTAATATGGCTGTGTTTAAGCATGCAAGCAATTAACGCAATGTCGTCTAGAAACTTAGGGAGACACATGCATTTTCCATACAAAATTTCGCTTGGAATTTCGGTGCTCAGTTTCAATGTTCAATGTAATTTTTTAATGTTCAGTTACTTATTAGTTCGAAAAACTTTTTTGAGGAGTGAACAGTTCCCAAAAAAATCCCTATAAGCCGGGATTTCAACCTGAAATCCCGGCTTATAGGGATATTGGACAAAAAAAATCCAAGTACGCTCGCTCAATCGAGCCAATATATTCGGATTAAAAGCCTTTTAGATTGTGCTACAGTACAATTCACCAATTAGATTGGAATAAATCTTGGTATTACACGTCTATAAAAAACCAAGGTTTCTAAAGATCCAGAAACTATTAAAATCGCCAAAGCAGCCAATCATTTAAAATCTCAAGGAGCTGTAAATGGAACGACTCGCTCTGCTTCATTTTTGTACAATAATCTGCATTGATCATTGTTATTACATCGTTAAGGAAAGTTTATAAACGACTCATGAATAAATTATTTCCCGATGATCATCTTCAGGAAGCAATTTCAACACGGACAAAGGGCACGACCTCGCTCGAGACAAGCCTTAGGACTGTCACAGACAGAATAAGTTATTCAAATGGTCATTCTTACTCCGCCCTCCTACAGGTCGACACGTCAGATTAGGAAGAGCCCGACCTCCGCCAGACACACTGCCGTATTATAAGATCGATCAACAAACGTTTGGCTAACAATCCAAAATGGGAAAGCATTATAATACTCCACTTTGCGGCGCAGGCTAGGAGGAATACATATAAACACATTGCTTTAATTGCAATTATAGAAACTGGTTTCGCAGTCTAAGTAATTAGAATGCTAAAATAATCATCGATAATATGGAAGACCGTCAAATGAAATGACCTCTACAATTTTTTTAATAACTCTTCCCAGCAATCATCTCCGCACAGTTGAACTCCCCACTTCAATTATGTCCAAAGCAAACTCGTTGCCGTAAAAGTAGGAAGGATCATCGTAATTTGAAGCAATAAAGCTTTACAGTAATAAGCCACTCGGGCAACGGGCTGGCTATATAACCGCAGCGCAACTATGATTTTCCGTTCGCGAATGATCTTATTTTTAAATGACAGACGAGTTAATACAGAGTGTGTAGCTAGAGTGCTACACACTCTACACGATATACTTTCACTTTCATACGCGATACTTTCAGTGCTACACGCGATACTTTGGCGGCAAGAAAATTATGCGATGAAATAGACAAATTGAATAAAGAAGACTGATGTTTATTTATAAATTCAAAACGGTGTGATGATTTTGACTTATCCTCAAAAATACGTTGACAAAAACAAACATGATTAGCCGTTGAAATTACACAATGCAATTGCGTCATTGTAGCATTCGTTTTGCTACCCAGAAATTATATCTCACTGAGACTTCCAAATTAATGTGATCCAGATGAGGAAAATACGTCAACACATTGAGTGCGGCACGACAGACTAAAAACGAATAAAAAGATGTCGTAAATCCGCGGATAAAAAAAAACTATATTTCAAAATATACTAGTAAACTTGTAAGTTCAGGTGCAAAAATAAATTTTCTTTTTTTCCGTACTTTTTAAAATTTAATGAGGTACCTAGGCCTGCCATCAGAAATTTTTGTCAACAGTCGCAATTGGAAAAAACTAAATCGCGGAGTTTGTCCCGAAAAAAGACCCAACGACCCAGCGGTGGGACCACTGTTAGAAAAAACGGGTGAAAAATGTGCAGTACACGTTTGTTTTCGAAGTTCATTTACCGTAATCCGGTCATTCAGGTTATTTACCGTGGTTTGTTGGACTTCAGCGGTAGATGGCGCCACAGTCATCGGTCGAGTTAATATCTAGACGCCATCTTGAGTGGCAGACATCGCTTAAGAGTTAAATTTATTCAGTTTATTTTTGCTGGTTTATACTATTTTTTTGTTGTTGGCTGTGATTTTTGTACAAATGATAAGGTATCGTGTGTTATTCAGTTGAGTTGCTCATGTTTGTTCTCCTATTCTTTGAGTGTTAATACTTTGAGTTGCGTTGGTTCGACATCAGTCGATCTCTGAACTCTATAGACTAGAGCTAGCCAGTGATACTTTGCACCGAGGTCGAGGAGAAATACCCTGTTATTAATCAAGAGTTGATGCTTTCAGGGTATAGTGCCTCTATTCTTGTGGAATTCAAATAGATTTCATTGAGGGCTCTGCCGAGTTGTGTGCAGTAGGGACTAGGGAGGGGTGCGACCCGGGCGAATGGTGACTTCAGTCAGGTTAGTGACAATTTGTCGTTGACGTCTTGACGATTTACACTGCTCACAAAGTAGTTTTTGTGAGAGGTAATAAATGAGCAGGTCCGAATATCATATTATATAGGAATTTTTGCAACTGAAGCCTCCTTTTAAAACCTTGCTGACATTTTGGTTAAACAAGTGTGCCAGTTTCTTGAAATATTGAATATAGATGGAGCATCAACCCTAGAGTTCCACTCTGATTATTAGTCTCTTTTACAGTTAACCAGTGAACTAACTAACTTAACTTGTTTGATATGTTTTGTTTACATCAATTTTATATGCCAAAACTTCAGCAGATTATTGCACAACTTGAAATTTGAATCTTATCACCATTGTTAGCCCACCACCATTTTTTTAACATTTCTACTTTGTTACTTCAA